TCCTTTCATATTCAATCATGTCTCGCAAATAGTGTGTCTATAAAATCATTAATAACGTTAAAGACTCTACATCGCGGGTGTCCTTTACAAAGCGCCACTAGATGTCGCTACGGGACTCGCTGCCTTCGTGTACATCGCGGTAGTAAAATTTGTGCTCTCTGAATGACTGTTGGTCGTAGTGAATTGGTAGGCATCGCTTCTCGGCCTTTTGGCTAAGATCAAAGTGTAGTATCTGTTCTTTTCAGCTTAATATCTGAAAGTTCCCGCATGTCGGGACCAGTATATTAAACTGATTTTTGTAAACCGACGGGATGTTCGGGGCTCGCTCCACTCCCGTCACGGGTCGGCCCGGCATTGCAGTGCCGCCGGGATCGGCCCACATTAAACCTAAACATTCTCAATCTAACAACAGGTGACACAAAGTTAAGTAGAAAACTATAATATTATGGACATCATTCGTGATCATCGTCACAAGTGCTTTCTGTATTTATATTGTGTAGGACTGACTGAACTTTGCGAAGATTCAAAGTACGCGTTTATGTATTTCTAATACTAGACAACAATAATTGTACTATATACTGTTATCAAATATACCACGTTCAATATGCGATTAATATCTCGAAAGGTATTTAAAATATAATAATATATACACTATGTAGCTAATTAACATCATATGACGTAGAAAAGAAAAATAAATACTAATTTTTCAGTATAATGTATGGTTCGTTAATTCAAAAGAGAAAGTTCAAAAAAGCCAACATCACGCGGTGTTCCCAGGCGGTCACCCATCCAAGTACTGACCGCGCCCGACGTTGCTTAACTTCGGTGATCGGACGAGAACCGGTGTAATCAACGTGGTATGGACGTTGGCAATTTACATGGTGAAAAATTTTTAGAAATTAGGTTTTACGTCTAATATTTAAACTTTTTATGACTTACCTCACTTTATCTTTTACAGTACAATTATTGTAATTTTGAATATAATCTTCTTAACTAACGACTATATATAATATATCTTAAATCACTGCTTATTTTAAAGTTACAGACAATAATGTATAAATTAATCTAAAGCATTATACTTACAAACACCAAAAGTTTAAAACCACAATTCCTGTTTAAATTATTAAAATTTACAAATCATAAGTTTGAATTACAAAATTAAATTAATAATTTTTTAAATAACCTTTTAATTAGGTGGACTCGACTTATTTTCTTTACCAGTACCTAATTGATTTGTAAAAGGACATATTGTAATGTTGGCGTTACTGAGTATGTGAACCTCTTTAATGATTAATCTGAACTCAACCGAGTGTTAGATCGCTGTCCTACAATATTACATTCGTATATTACTTGTTAACACAAGGATGAACACATTAACTGTATTACAATAACTAGTAACGGTCTCCTGACGTGTAAGGTGAGTACTAATTAAAGTGACTATTAGGTATACGAGTAACACTAAACTGTATAAGTATATTCCATAGAGTTAATGTTTTTATACTTTTTACTCTTTATATAATAATTTAATTCAATAAAAACATTGTTTCTTAATTGTTTTGTCAATCGACGCCAGAGGAGGGGAAGGTTATACGCGTAGGGTACCAGTGTATACGGTTTAGGAATTATTTCTTATCTAATATGTTGAAAATTATTCACTGAATATTTTAAAATATTTTGGGTTCAAACATCTGTATAATATACATATATTCTCAATTATTTTTAACTGATTTATAAAAGCAATCTCCGAATTTCTTGTCTTAGGGACTTATTTTACATCTTATCACGTATATTTTGCTTTATGTAGCACATGAAGGTACATTATCAGTAAATTGTTTTAAATAATTTATGTATGCAACAATTAATTTTAGTAATATAATATGTTATTAATAATTAAGAAACTGTAATCAAAATATAATTGTTTTCATTGTTCAAAAAGAGACGCTGCTATTGTTGTTAAATCTCTTTTGTCAATCTCAATTGTTAGTTACAAATTAATGTTAGTATATTAATATATAATTTCCTTCAAAATGTATAAAATTGATAAATTTAATTTATCAGTGATGCAATTACTAATAATTAATGTAAATTTGACCTAGACTTTACTGCTCACTGATCTCGACAACAAATGTATTTTAAGACCATTACATTTATATTTATATCTGAGAGCGAGGGTATCCTTTTTTTATGTATCAGGGAAGGGAAACTCTTTTTACGAGCCGTCCAACCGGCCTTTTTGGGGCCGGAAGGAATATGTGAGTCTCGGCCTGGGCAGGCCCCTACTCATTAAAACCTCTACGAAACCATCGACGGCTCTGTCGTTGTACCCCGGATCAGTCAGCGACAGGGCACACCAGCGACTGGCCGGTCCTGGCAAAGACAAGACACTCCCTTGGAAAATGGGGGCGATATATTTTTGTTACACAAACAGTAACCCCCTGAAAGATAAAAACAATAATCATGTCTTCATAAATGCTTGTAAACCTTTACTACAGTTCAAATAGAATTATGTTATTATGGTGTAGGGTCAGGTTGTAAGTTTTAAAAGCCTGTGTAACAGAATATTATACAGTAATATATATGAGGACCTCTGTAATAGAGCATTACATTAGATTATATTAGTCTTCTACAAGACACGTTATAGCGTCTTATAACATAACTCACGTAAAATGTGTAAGTAATAATTCTCTGTAGTGTGAGTGAATATATGTATATTGCTTAAATGTGATATCTTATATATATATAATAGAATTTTAATGCAATCAGTTTTTAATATAAGCACCATATCATATAAAAGTCAAGTGAACATGAATTCAACTTGCACAGCGGGTATTTCATCTGTATTTTACCGTATCTATTTCTTATTCAATAACTTTAAGTTAATATCATTCATTCACTGATTAATATTTTCGTGTTTATTCACTACCCTATGTCAGTGCCTCTCGTCTCTTTGTCTACCTTCTAAAGTTATTGGTAATGATCACATCCTTATAAATTTATGAAAAATAAAACAAAAATGTCAAGTCCTAGATTTTCATCCAAGTATGTTTTAAGACCAAACATTGTGCATTTTATAGCAGGTCTGAAAGGATAAGATTGAAGAGAACTTAAAAAGTCAAGTGAGTTATTTCCTTATGTCTGAATGATGACATAAAATGGTTATGTTTATCAATACTGAAATGAAATATAATATAGTTGTCATGGATCTGCTAGAATTTATTTCCTTTCTGGGATTTTTACTATACTCTTCAGCTATGAAAAAAGCTCAAAAATATTTACTAACAACGAAACCCTGAGATGGTTCATATGTGAATTTATAATATGCTTTATATGTCTATAACCATAACTTATGTGAACTATATGTAACTTGAGATAAAAAATATCTTTGCTCATTAATTAAAAGTTATTTTCGATTTAAATAAAATAATCGTACAGGACTCTGTAATTTGAAAGAACTGTCTTTTTTTGATTAACCTCCAGTTCTGATATAATTTGGAGGTCTGTTAATTGTTTGAATGTTTCCAAAAAACTAAAGCGAATTGTAACTTGTATCATTATTACAATAGAAACCTTAAGTTAAATAAATGAACACCTTTCTTTAGTATGATTCTTTGTGATTACCAACGGTATTCCATTTTCAAAGAAGTCACTTATTTTTAACATGACTTCATAAGATAATTCTATATGAACCTAATATTCACTCAGTAATACATATGTAATATACAGTACGTATACAGTTTCTGTTTGTTATAAAGTTATGACACAAATATATAAATCGATTATTGAAAGTCATTTCACCTCGTTCACTTTTAGCAAATTAATACATTTAACAATTAAATTTTTTTTATAATCAATTATTTTATAATCAGAATCAAATTTTTATTTCGACATACGATGTATTATACCAGCATACCTCTGATTTATGTTTATATGGAATTATATATGATATGGAATTAGGAATTATATTTCACTTGTTCCATTCATATAATTCTTATTCTATTAATCTGATTAAGTATAAAATCAAGAGTCGTCTTTGCGAGTGTGGACTCAATGAAGGCAGATAATCCCATCATTTCTTTAGTTGTATAATCCTCCTTCATCCAAGACAATGGTTTAACTTAGTATAAATAAAGACTAAGTCTGAATATAAAAAAATATATATTTTTTTTATATGGCCTGACTCGGAAATAAAAGATTTAATTGGGAATAAAAATTAATAACATGCTCCTTTTTATTTTTATATTTGATTGTGTTTTTTGAATTTCTTTCCTAAAACTACCAACTCATTTTTATTTATAGTTTTAAATAATCTATTTTTAAAAAAATAAGTTTTTATTGATATATTTTGTATTTACATACTAATTATTATTAAAGTGTGTGTTTAGATGTTAGAAGATTAATTTATTAGTGTTAACAGTTATATTTTTTTTTGAGTTGAATATGATGTTTTTGTTTAAGAATTTTTGACTGAATACTTAGAAAGATAATAGATAGATAGATAGATAGATAGATTAGATAGAGAATAGATTTAAATACGGCATCAAAAACTTGTCAGTTATAGATTTTACTTGTTAGTAGTTTCTGTTTAACTATAAAGCGCATTGTTTACTTGTTTTTTGCATTAATAACAGAAATAGATGATAATCAATGTCATCCGTTTACCCAACATTGTTCGATATATTGAATTTTAAGAGTAACTAGATCTTGACCGATGCTTCTTATTTGTGACTCCATTATAAGTAATAACAATGTTAAAAGATTATTTTCACTTCATGACTACAAAAAAATTACATGTAAATTACACCTTGAATATAATCAAATTATGAGGACGAACGCACTTGCTATTTGTTTTTTTTTTATGTATATATGTTTAAATATTTGCCAATAACCGTTTAATACAAACAACATAATATCGATAACACTGTGATCTTTGACTGGAAGACGAGAGTATAGTGGAGTATAAAGTAAGCGACAGTCAGATGAACGTTTACCCTACGAACAAAATGATAGCTCCACTGATTTTGACTCTTTTTGCAACTGCTTACGCTAATGTGATCATCGATTTAAAGTGTCCAGAATTCAAACCGATAGAGAACTTTAACTTTTCTGCGGTAAGTATTATTTAATTGTTTTGAAGAAATATTATATGTCTCAGAAGGTTTATTAATATTGTAGTTTATTGATTAAAATACTTTAATTCTTGAACACAGTGCTATTAAAATTATTGTTTTCTTACTATTTTTTACTATACTAGACTTAAATATTATTTAATTTTAATTTTAAAGCTATTTTGCCTGATATTCATGTAATAGTTTCATATTAATATTCATTATAGTATGGGACCGGTGTCTGGCGTGAGGTAGCTCGGTATCCTAACGAATATGAGGAGGAGGATATTAAGTGTGATCGTGGCGTGTACACTATTGAGTTAGATTATTCCTCAACTCGTAATGTTTTAGTCCAAGACGGCAAAGAAATTAGAATAGACGGTGTAATAAGAAAAGTTACGGGTGCTGGAAACACCGGCGAACTTGTTGGTTTCATATCTCTTGACAGTAAGTATTGATAGAGAAAAAATGATTTCATATTAATTTTTTAAAACATTATTTTGTGTTTTTTTTTAGACTGGAAAATGGGAAACACCTTCTACATTTTGGATACAGACTATGATAACTACGCCATAACTTATACATGCAAATATGATGAAGGGAAAAAATCGCGCCGTGGTAATATTACGACGCTTATAGAAAACATAATTACGATAGTTTTATGAAAATAATTATCTTAATTTGAGTTTTGTTTCAAATAATAAGATATAAAATTAATTTTCAGATTATGTTTGGATACTTTCTCGAAGTAAAACCTTGAGTGCCGATGTTAAGACTAAAATTCAAAACTTCATGAAATCCTCCGGATATCTTGACTACGACAAATTAATATGGCCCGAAACATCCTGTAACGAATGAAGATCAAGACGTTCACTCACTGAATAAAATGTTGTTTATATAGCATCCTTTACATTTTGTAGTAAGCAAATATATATATATATATATATATATATATATATATAATAACTAGTCACACACTTAAATATAAAACTTAGAAAAATAAAATCGACTTCAAAATTGTATCCCTACGTATTATCCTTTCAGACTTGGTATAAAATGCACAATGTTTGTTCTTAAAACATAATTGGATGAAAATCTAGGACTTGTTTGCCATTTTGTTTTATTTTTCATAAATTTATAAAGATCACACGAATCATTACAAGTGACTGTAGACAAAGAGACCAGTGGCTCTGACATAGGGAAGTGAATGGACATGAAAATATTAATCAGTGAATGAAAGATATTTACTTAAAGTTATTGAATAAGAAATAGATACGGTAAAATACACATGAAATACCCGCTGTGCGAGTTGCATTCATGTTCACATGACTGTTATATGATATGTTTATATGTATTAACAACTGATTGTATTACATTTCTTAGTATTCTTTAATTATAACACGCGATTATATAAAACAAGATATAACAATTAAGCAATACGCATATATTCACTAACACTACAGAGAGTTATTTTACGTGAGTTATGTTATAAGACGCTATAACGTGTCTTGTAGAAGACTAATATAATCTCATGTAATGCTCTATCCCAGAGCTCCTCATATATATTACTATATAATATTCTGTTACACAGGCTTTTAAAACTTACAACCGGACCCTACTCCGTAATAAGATAATTCTATTTGAACTGTAGTAAAGGTTTACAAGCAGTTATGAAGACATGATTATTGTTTTTATCTTTCAGGGGGTTACTGTTTGTGTAACAAAAATATATCGCCTCCATATTCCGAGGAGTAAGTCTGGTCTTTGCCAGGGCCGGCCAGTTTCTGGTGTGCCCTGTCGCTGACAGATCCGGGGTACAACGACATAGTCGTCGATGGTTTTCGCAGAGGTTTTAGTGAGTAGGGGCCTGCCCAGGCCAAGACTCACATATTCCTTCCGGCCCCAACAAGGCCGGTTGGACGGCTCGTAAAAAGAGTTTCCCTTCCCTGAGACATAAAAAAAGGATACCCTCGTTCTCATATATAAATATAAATGTAATGGTGGCAAAATACATTTATTGTCGAGTTCAGTGAGCAGTAAAGACTAAGTCAAATTTACATTAATTAATTATTAGTAATTGCATTAGTGACAAGTTAAATTTATCAATTTTATACATTTTCAAGTAAATTATATATTAGTATAATGACATTAATTTCTAACTAACAATTGAGATTGACAAAATAGATCTAACAACAATAGCAGCTTCTCTTTTTGGACAGAGAATTCAATCATATTTTGATTACAGTTTCATAATTATTAATCACATAAACATATAACTAGAATAAATTATTACATACATAAATTATTTAAAACAATTTACTGATAACATATCTTCATGTGCTACATAAAGCAAAATATACGTGATAAGATGTAAAATAAGTCCCTTATGCTAAAAGAAAGTCGGAGATTGCTTTTATAAATCAGTTATTAATAAATGTGAATATATATTATACAGATCTTTGAACCCAAAATATTTTAAGATATTGAATGACTAATAATTATCAACATATTAGATAGGAAACAATTCCTAAACCATATACACTGGTACCCTAACCTACGAGTATAACCTTCCTCTCCTCTGGCGTCGATTGACAAAACAATTAAGAAACAATGTTTTAATATTCAGTTAAATTATTATATAAGCATTAAAAAGTATAACAACATAAACTTTATAGAATATATACAGTTTAGTGTCTAGTGTTATAGCTAAGTACTGGTATAATAGTCACTTTAATTAGTCCTCACCTTATACGTCAGGAGACCGTTACCAGTTATTGTAATACAGTTAATGTGTTCATCCTTGTGTTAACAAGTAATATACGAATGTAATATTGTAGGACAGCGATCTAACACTCGGTTGAGTTCAGTTTAATCATTAAAGAGGTTCACATACTCAGTAACGCAAACATTACAATATATCCTTTAAAACCTCAATTAGGTACTGGTAAAGAAAATGAGTCGAGTCCAACTAATTGAAAGGTTATTAAAAAGAATACTAATTTAATTTTGTAAATTAATCTTATGATTTGTAAATTAAAAAAGGAATCGTGGTTTTTAACTATTGGTATTTGTAAGTATAATGCTTTAGATTAATTGATACATTATTTTTTGTAACTTTACAATAAACAGTGATTTAGGGTAAAGTATATTGTCATTAGTTTAGAAGATTTTATTCAAAATTACAATAATAAATAATTACTTTACTACAAACATAAAGAAAGGTAAAATATAAAAATGTTTAAATAGAACGTAAAACTAAAATTCTAATAACTTTTCATAATATATACCGCCAACGTCCATACCACGTTGAATACACCGGTTCTCGTCCGATCACCGAAGTTAAGCAACGTCGGGCGCGGTCAGTACTTGGATGGGTGACCGCCTGGGAACACCGCGTGATGTTGGCTTTTTTATTCGACCTCTTTTGTATTAACGATCCATACTCAATGTAAACGGACAAAATCTTATTACATTAATTTTCATTGATTTTTAAAATTTAACTACATACATAGTATATAAGGCTATTAATATTTTTTTTCAATCGCCACATCCCTTTTTCATTGTTATTTTCAAAAGTATTGTCATAGTATTAATCCTACACTGATCGTAGTAATATTTGAGTATACAATATGAATAACATACATAAAGAAGGTGTAATGATTGATTAACATTAAAAATATATAAACGTACTTTGAACCATCACGAGAGTTCAGTCAGTTCTCTTAGACCACCTTGTATATTGAAGAAATTTAATTTTCAAGCTACTTTTCCAGGTTCTTCAGTGTGTATATAATAATGTATTCAGAAAGCACCTGTGACGATGACCGCGAATGAAGTTCATAATATTATACATAGTTTTCTACTTAACTTTGTGTCACCTGTTGTAAGATTGAGATTTGTTTAGGTTTAATGTGGGCCGATCCCGGCGGCACTGCAATGCCGGGCCGACCCGTGACGGGAGTGGAGCGAGCCCCGAACATCCCGTCGGTTTACAAAAATCAGTTTAATATACTGGGTCCCGACATGCGGGAACTTTCAGATATTAAGCTGAAAAGAACAGATACTACACTTTGATCTTAGCCAAAAGGCCGAGAAGCGATGCCCACCAACTGCCTACGACCAACCGTCATTGCGAAAGCAGAAATTTTACTACCGCGATGTACACGAAGGCAGCGAGTCCTGTAGCGACATCTAGTGGCGCTTTGTAAAGGGCACCGGTGATGTAGAGTTCCTAAAGTTATTAGTGATTTTCGATAGAAATTATCGAAATTATTTAAATTCAAAGAGTGATAAAATTATAACTAAATAAAATAATTACCTTAATTGTTAAATAAGTCATTTTGAGTATCATGTATATCATGTATATCATGTATATCATGTATATCATGTGTATCATGTATATCAATATATCATTCACTTTTTGAATGTGATTCCAGTAGATAAAATTTGTATGTACAAAACATAACGTGATTTTTTATCAATTTACAGACTTATTGTTTTTATAAGGCATGCACTTCGGAAACATTTATATTGTTTTCTATTAAAACCCTTGTGTGTGTGTCCCCCCCCCCCCCCCCCTATGCCTTACGCACCCAGCGAATAGACGGAACATATTATAAGATAGACTTCTTGAAGCAGTTTAAATAAAATATGCTTAGTAAATAATGACCTATCTAGTAACGAGTTTTATATAAACACGGTCCCATAGAATTATCAAATATTTCCGTCGACAAGAACAATATTCATTTATTTAAGAGTAAATGTGAAATGTTTATTTATTAAGTAATTGACACTCAGCAATGGAGTTCTTGTTTCTCAAATATTTTTTATGCTGTAGAATTTAAACCGAACAATAATGTCCATTGATAGGAACTTTACAATTATATATATACACTACCTTTTGCCCGCGACTTCGTCTGCGTGCAATAGTGACTTCCGCCAGATTTTTGGTTCTTCCCACATAGTGCCTGTTATTGCGGGATTTTCGGAATGGTGGTGTTCCCGCAGAATTTTCAGGATAAAACCTATGTTTTTTTTCGAGTTCCAAACTATATCTGTACAATTTTAAAAGTAAATTTAATTATTTCAAAGAACTTAAGAAATAATTTCTCCCGTTTTTTACACATTTACCACTATATCTTTGCTCCTATTGGTCGTAGCGTGATGTTATATAGCCCACAGCCTTCCTCGATAACTGGACTATCCAACACAAAAAGAATTCTTCAATTCGAACCAGTAGTTTCGGAGATTAGCGATTTCAAACAAACAAACAAACAAACTCTTCAGCTTTATAATATTAGTATAGATATACATAGTTTCATAATTTCACCAAAAATTAGTTGTCGAACGTTAATGTCATAACTACGTAGTTTAAATTGTGTTATTAAAAAACAACGAAAGGATTTAATTATTAAACCTTTTCGTAAAACTACTGCTTTGCTATATTGTTAACGATGGGGCAAGACATAGTTTAATTACCACCGGCTACCAATTAAGAACAGTCTGCTTCCTTCAAATGCGATACATAATAATTAATACATGTAAAGCATTGTTTGTAACTGGATTTTATTAACCTCACCTAGGGTGAGGCTTCAAAAAGTAGAGTTAGACTCATTTGAGTGTTCCCCTCCACGGAAATCTTTAGTAAAAGGCGAAAGATTTATACGTTTTGAAGGGAAACCAGAGTACCGGAGCCGCATCTGACGCGCGGAGCCATAGAAGAGAGAAAAATCTTATCACCGCGATGTAGAATACGACACGTTTACATACAGAGACATCTAGCGGCTGACTGTAGCGACAACAGATGTAGAGTAGGACAATATAGACACATGTGTTGATTAAAATCCCCAACAACCACC